CCCCAAAACCCCAAAACCCCAAAACCCCAAAACCCCAAAACCCCAAAACCCCTATCTTCATAATCTAATTTGAATTATTCTAAACGAATTTATACTTCTCTTCTGGATTAGGGATCAGATAGCGAGGCACATCAATTATTTTGACTGGGATTTTGTAAGCTCCTGGGCCTGGAGTGTCTGAAGAAACCTGTTTACCTCTCTGCTCACTACCAATTTTAACGTGAGGTCCTTTGTCTAAGGCTGGGTTGTAGTATTTGTAGGTACCAGGTCCAGGAACAAGCTCTTGGTGCTTGTTACCAGTCTTTCTTTGAGAAGACCCAATCTTGCAGAAAGTTGTGCTGGCTTTGCTCAATTTTGGATCAGGGTTGTAGTTTCCAGGCCCAGGAGTCTCATCCTTTGCTCTGTCTTTGAGCTTAGAGCCCATGTAATAAGCTCCCTTCTCTGCAATTTTGGGTTGATGACTGTAGTTTCCAGGACCTGGAGTGAATCCAGTCTGAGCGAGGGCAGGTCTTTTAGAGCTTCCAAATCCAAAGCTGGGGCTACTTTTCTTTCTTGAATCCATCCCTCCAGCAGAGTAAGTGTCAGGGCCAGGGCTGGCATCCCTCCTGATGTCTTTCCTTTGAGAGCTTCCAAACTTACAGTTAGGAGATTTATTTTTGGAATACGTATCTGAAGGATTATAGTTTCCAGGCCCAGGTGAATGTCTTCCAACAGCAGGTGTTGTGTCTGGCCTTCTTGCTGTCAAAGAAAACTTTGGAGCAGAATTTCCTAATCCATTTGAGTTGGGATATTGACCAGGTCCAGGCATCATCTTCTGCAACTTAGTTGTTGAATTATTTACTCGTTTGGATGATCCAAAACCATACCTCGGAGAAGCCTTTTTGTTAACATCAGTTGATGAAACGGGATACTGACCAGGACCTGGATTGCTAATCACCAATTTTGATGCAAGAGGAAGTCCTTTTTGTGATGTTCCAAATTTTCCTAGAGTCTGAGAAAGTGTACTTTTATTCTGATAAGTACCAGGACCAGGGTTGTACATATTCCCTTTATTCTGTGTAGCATGTCTTCCTGCAAAACTGAAAGCAGTTTTGCTGAAAGCATTTGAAGATGGATTATATTGCCCGGGCCCTGGGACACTTTTCTTAAACTTATCGAGATCAGTGACAGATTTTACTCCAAAGTGATACTTAGGAGCTTCATTTACATCTTTCAATGTCTTATAATTCCCTGGGCCTGGACTGAATGCTCTGTTAGGATTGATATCACTTCTCTTTGATGTCCCAATAGTCCATTTAGGAGGTAGAATTTTGTTTCCGTTTTCATTCCTGCTAGTATATTGCCCTGGACCTGGGCTCACAGACTTTGGCTGGCTTTTAAACTTTTTGCCAATACTCCAAGCTTGCACCATCGAGAATTATAATTTTATTTTCAAAAATATATATGAATTAGGGGTTTTGGGGTTTTGGGGTTTTGGGGTTTTGGGG